AGTCTAGCTCTATGATTGGAAGTTGATAGTGGGTAATTTGGAGAGGGAGGGAGCCAACAGCTGAAAGGATTAAGAGAGGCTTTCCATAGGAAGTGATATCTAAACTCAGTCTTGAAGGACCTCTGAGGATTGGAGGTAAAGAGGGAGTGTGCTTCAGGCATGGGGCACAGCCTGGTCAAATGCACAGAAGCCCCACTTTGGCAGGAACACAGTGTGTGAAGGAGAGTAAAATGAAATCAGATTAGAAAGGTAGGTTGGAAACAAACTGAGGAAGGCTGAAGAATTTACTTTTTATTCTGTATACAATGGGGAGCTACGGAAGACTTTTGACTAAAGGTGATTAAGAGCCTTAAGGTTATTTTGGCAACCCTGTGGAGAATGGATGAGAGAGGGAGGAGTCCAGCTTAGAAGGCGGATTAGGGGGCTAGGGAAGTTGCCCAGCAGAGGAGAGCCCCAAGGGACTAGAATCTCAGAATCCCAGGATCTCAGAATGTCAGTGAGAAAGGCTATCAGTGGCTATCTCATCTCTTACACCCAAAAGAAGGGAAATGACCACAGAAGAAAGCCTTGTGGGGGTAGAGGGGGAAGACTTCTTCCTAGAGCCGGGGCAGCTAAACTGGGACCTCAAAAACTGGCTATATGTCCCCTTCCTGACTTCAAATCCGGGGTCCCATCCATCCTCTCGAAACTTTGAGGGGTGTTGGGGAGAGAAAGAGGAAACTATTTTACGAAAATATGCCTGACTCATTGCCTGGGAGCTTTTGCAGGGAAACTCTCCAAGTCTCTGTTTCTCTGTCAGCAAACTAGGAGAAACCCGCAGATCCCCGCCTTCCCTCCAAGGCCTTTGGTCACCGTGAATAAGGCACTGTAAGCAAAATGGGACAGCAACCCTAAGAAGGTGGATCTGAGAGTCTGGACTAAGCTGGTGACTGGCTATGTGATCTTGGCCAAGTCACTGACCTTCCTTGGAGAGGAACCTCTCCTTCTTCCCCAGGGAAGCTGTCTGATGGATAGAATGAAGCCCTTTTATTCAGAAGGTGCTCTGAGCCCTTTAGGAGAGGACTGCCTGGTCAGAGGGAAGAATCATAATTTCATCATTGCCATGAGAAGCAACAGGGGCTCTAATGGACACAGTGCTGGGCTAGGAGTCCAGAAGACCTGAATTCAAATCCTGCCTCTCACACTTCTTAGCTGTGTGTCTCTAGGAAAGTGGCTTAACTTTTATGAGGAGCAAGCAGCTCCAAAGGACCTACCAAGTCTGAAGTATTAAAGAAGTAGATTAGCAGCAGGGTCTCCAAATTGGAACAAAGCCAAGAAAGGGACCCCTTGGGTCTCTCTCTTTGAAGTTTCTTGACCTGACTGCTACCTGTTAATCTATCTATCTATGGCTCTGTGGCTAGAGTGCTGGGCCTGGCATTAAGAAGATGTGAGTTTAACAAGCCATTCCCCAATTAATAAATGGTCAAAGGATATGAACAGGGAGTTCTCAGATGAAGAAATTAAAGCCATCTATAGTCATATGAAAAAATGCTCTAAATTGTTATTGATTAGGGAAAAGTAAATCAAAACAACTCTGAGATACCACATCACACCTATCAGATTGGCAACATGACAAAACAGGAAAATGATAAATGTTGGAGAAGATGTGGGAAAATTGGAACACTAATACATTGTTGGTGGAGTTGTGAAATGATCCAACCATTTTGGAGAACAATTTGGAACTATGCCCAAAGGGCTACAAAAATGTGCATACCTTTGATCCAGCAATAGCACTTCTAGGGCTATATCCCAAAGAGATCAAACAAATGGGAAAAGGACCCACATGTACAAAAATATTCATAGCAGCTCTTTTTGTGGCAGCAAAGAATTGGAAATGGAGAGGATGCCCATCAATTGGGGAATGGCTGAGCAAGTTGTGGTATATGAATGTAATGGAATACTATTGTGCTATAAGAAATGATGAACAGGCTGACTTCAGAAAAACCTGGAAAGACTTGTATGGTCTGATGCTGAGTGAAATGAGCAGAACCAAGAGGACTTTGTACACAATAACAGCCACATTATGCAATGACTAAGATTGTTGAACTGAACCCTTCTCAGCATTACGAGGATCTAAGACATCTCCAGAGGCCTTGGGATGGAAAATGCTGTCCACATCCAAAGAATGAACTATGGAAGTCGAATGGCTATCACTTATTTTTACCTTCTGTTGAGTTTTGTTTCATCTTTCTGATGGTTCCTCCTATTGGTTTTAATTTTAACTTACAACTTCACTAATGTGAAAATATGTTTAATGGGTATGTAAATGTAAAGCCTATATCAGGTTGTGTCTTGGGGAGGGTGATGGGGAGGAAGGGGGAGAAAAATTTTAAACTCAAAAACATGTGGAAGTGATTGTTGATAAATCAAAATAAATTAATAAAATTTAAAAAAAAGATGTGAGTTCAAATTTGGGCTCAGATACTTACTAGCTGTGTGACCCTGGGCAAGTCATTTAACTTTGCCTCAGTTTCCTCATCTGTAAAAATGGGGATAATAATCATTTCCCGGGGTTGTTATGAGGATCAAATGGGATAATAATTATAAAGAGCTTAGCACAGTGCCTGGCACATAGTAGGAGCAGCATAAATTTTAGCTGTTATTATCGGTTAATTTGCAAACACTGTCACTATGTGCCAAGCTCTATGCTAAATGCTAGGGGTACAAAGAAAAAGCAAAGCCAGTCTCTGTCCTCAAAGAACCTCCACTCTCCTGGGAACGTGCCTCTGAAGTGCCTTCCAGCTCTGACTGACGATCCTGTGATTGGAAGTCACTTCAGCCCTGGGCCTCAGTTTCCTCTTTGGTAACATCAAGGGGTCGGTCTAAATGGCCCTGGACTGCTATTCTGTCTTTGGAAAGTTTCCCCACGGTGAAAAATGTCATGCCTCCTCCTTGTGTCCTCACTGTTACATAGGCTAGCAAACATGATGGAATCCTGGGTTTATAGTCTTAAGGGACTTTAGAGGTCTTAGAAGCCAACCCTCTCATCATGCAGAGGAGGAGACTGAGGCTCATAGAGAGTTAGTGACTTGCTCAGGGACACGCAGCTAGTATATGTCCGAGGCAGCATTCGAACTCTGGTCTTCCTTATTCCAAGTCCAGCATTGGCCTGCCTGTCTCTAATTACTCCTGTTACTCCTGACGATGCTTTTCTTGTGAGGGGCTCAAACTCTGCCCTTTGTGGCTAATTCTTCCAGGTACCCCCGTATTATAGACATGGGAGTTACTCCTAGAACCTATTGGTGCCAAGCTAAAACAGCCTGGGAGTCGGACTGGGAATTCAAACCCAAGTCTTCTGACTAAGTCAACCTAACATGCATTTATTAGATTCCTATTGTATGCTAGGCACTAGGAACATAAGGAAAACAATGACAATGCCCTCCAGGGGTGAATGTTTAACTGGGGGATGGTGAGGTGTGTGTGGATATACAATACTTATCTAAATAAGTTAATATAAGGGGATGGGGGGGGCATGACAGCCCAGGGTCATTCAACCAATGAGCACGGTGCTAGAAGCTGGGGACAGAAGTCAGAAGTGAAACAAACCTGCGGGAGCTGGCATCCGTTTGAGCAGAGGAGACAATACACAGATCTAAGTATGTAGTAGACAGAGAAAACAGATGCAAGATAGCCTTGGACAGGACGTTACTGGCAAATGAGGGGAGCAGGAAAATCCTCCCGTAGAAAGAAGACAGGACTTGGAGCTGAGACATCAAAGAATCCAGGATGTCCAAGAGGTGGAGGTGAGGAGAGAGGGGGACAGTCTGGACAAAGGCACGGAGATGAGAGACGGAGTTGTGTGTGAGCAGGTATGTGCGGTATATGACTCCGCCCAGTGTTTGGAGAGGAGGAAGGAACAAGGAAGGAGACTGGAGAGGTAGGAAGGGGGCAGGTTAGGATCTGAGGGGATAATAGGAAACCACTGAATTTATTGAGTTAAGAGGGTGACATGGTCAGATCTGCACTTTGGGAAAATGATAGAATAAATGCAAACTGAACCTGAGGTAGTTTGGGGAGGCACTCGGAGCTGGAAGGATGCTCGGTAACCCGGAAAATCGGGTCGCTTAGGGCTCAGATAGTCAGCAGTTTGAGTGGGGCTCAGATAGGGTATCCAACTGAACTCACCAAACAGTAACTTGAACCTCCAGGAGAGACCATCCAACTAACTCAGTTTTCCCCCTGGGTTGTTGGAGGAAATCTAGCACCAGCACAAACCCTCAGGGGTGACTGCCAGCAAATGTTACCTTCTGTCTCCCTTTCTTACTCTGTTTTCCTTCCTTCTTCCTTCTCCCTCTTCCCTCCCGAGAAATGGGTGGGTCCTGGGCTGCCGGCCAAGGGGTGGCCCACAATGGGTGTGGCTTCAGAGAACTGTTGGAATAACCCCTTCCCCCCCCTCGGCTCCAAGTCAATCAGTCAATCCACAAGTATTTATTAAGCATCTACTATGAGCTGGCACTATGCTGGGTGCTGGGATACAAAGAAAGGCAAAAACACAGTCCCTGCCCTCACTGAGCTTGAAATCTAACCGGGGGGGGGGGTGTCAACATGCACTGTACTAAGCACTTTACAAACACTATCTAATTTAATCCTCAGAACAACCCTGGGAGGTAGGTACTATTATTATATCCCCATTTTACAGATGAGGAAATTGCACCAGAGAGAGGTTAAGTGACTTGCTCAGGGTCACACAGCTAGCTAAGTGTCTAAGGTCAGATGTGAACCCAGATGTTTCCTCTCTCTACACCGGAGCTCTATCCACTTCTATAGTAAGCTGCTCCCAATACATCTTGGCCAGCAGAATGTAAGCTCCGAGGGGGCAGGGACTGTTCCGTTCTTCCTTTGTATTCCTAGCACGTGACGTAAGCTTCACGAGTATCTGTATATCGGTTGAAGTTTACCCAGTGGGTTGAGCCTCTCGCTGGTATAGAAAGTGACCGGAGGTGAGAAGATGACTTTGCTTTCTCTCTTTCACTTTCCCAAACTGAACCGGCTGGGGGCGTGACTTTGAGTGAGGATTATTCAGTTACGTCACAGTCGTAACCCCCACATCTATCACTATCTGAGACATGCCTTGGAGGAGGCCTCTAGGCTGGCAGCAGGTCACGGCTGCTCAAAGGAAATCTAATTGCGCAGTTACCTCCTTCCTTCAAATGAGACAGAAGCAGGAGGGACTGAAGAAGAAACGCTGTCCCTATCCTTTCACCTTCCTAACAATGGGAGGCAGAGCTACAGTCAGGGCTAGATGGCTGGGGCTCTGTCTCAAGATGCTGAAATATAAAGGGGACCAACAGCCTCATCTCCTGACATGCTTCCTCCCTTCCCTGGAGGCTGTACCTCAGCTGAGCTTCTTCCATCCAGGTGATGCTCAGGTGATGGGGGGTGGGGCTCTTCCTTTCCCCTTCCCCTACCTGCTGCACTCCTACCCCTTGGTATCCTGGTCCCCTCAACTCCCTGACACTGGCTCATCCTTTTGTAGCAGACAAGCCTAATGGTATCCCAGGGCTTAATTCCATCCCCTGGAAGGAACCTCTTCTAGCCAGCTGCCTCTCTGCCCCAGGGACAGAAAGTGCTAGTTAAGGGCTCTGGAGACCCCCAGCTATCTGACAGCTCCAAGTGTTCCCCCCACTTCACCCCCACCTCCTCCTCCTCCTCCATCCAACCCTTCTCATCGGTCTTCATTCCAATCTAAACTCTTGTCTGGCCTTCCAGACCCTCCCACTTAGTGCTTTAACCATATGAATCTGTCCTCTCCTCCTCTACTTCTTTTTGTACATGCTTCCTTCCCTGGCTTCAAAGTCTGCTCCCTCCTCTCTGCCAAGCTGGGCCTCTCCCTGCCTCTAATATCTGGTTAAAGACAGACCCCTTCCAAGAAGCCTTTCCAGAACAACCCCAGCCACAAAGATGGAGAACTGGAAAGGACTTCAGCGGTCATCTCATCTAATCAATTTCTTTTACAGAGAAGGAAACTGAGGCACAAGACACATAGAGAGTAGGATTTGAATCCAGATCCTCTGACCCCAAAGTCAATGCTTTTTCTGCTTGACCCCAGAAAGCAGAAACAAGGACAGTGGATGGAAGCTGCAATATCGGCTGTGTGTCAGGAAGAACCTCCCTACAATGAGAACTGTCCCAAAGTGGAACAGGCTGCCTCAGCAGATAATGAGTCTCCCATTGCCTAGCAGTCTTCAAGTAAAGGCCAGATTTCCTCAGAGGCACCCTCTTGTCATTTTTGTTCCCAGGACAAGAAACGAGCCTTCTTTTCACTTGGAAGAGGGGCAGTAAGTGTTCTGGGATACCCTATAGCCACAGAGGAGCAGGGAGAGTAGGAATGACTTTAGATTCAGAGCACCAGGGCTCGGATTTTATCTCAGATGCTTCTTGTGTGGCCTTGGGCAGATCATTGAACTACCTAGCTTACTCATCTGTAAAATGGACTTGATGGCCTCAGAGATCTCTTTCTGGTCTATATTTCTGATTCTATGATTCTAAGTCATTTCATTTCCCTGGGCCTCAGTTTCCTCATCTGTAAAATGAGGGAGTTGGACCAGATGGTCTTGAAGGACCCTTCCAGCTCTAAATCTATGACCCTGGAGCATCCCCTTTTACCTAATTGTCTTGTGAAATAGGTGCTAAGCTCAATTGCTTTTATGCAGCAAAAAGGCTTCAAGTGCTGTTAGCACCCTTTAAACTTTGGCACCCCAGGGCAAAGTGCAGGTTGGCCTACCCTAGTTATAGCCCTAAGTACAGGGACCTCTTGTTCAGGTGCTCTTTGGACTCAGTGGCCTCTGGGCTCTCTCCTGACTCTGAGATTCTATGAAGTGATGATTCTATGGGGTTCTAGGAAGGGTCTAGCTGAAGACAGGATGCACAGGCTTAGTGACTGAAAGAATTCATTTCCTGAAGCGCTCTTCCCTTCCCCCTCCCCCCATGCCCCGGATCCTTCTTTTTGCCCAGCCATGCCCTCACCTCCTGCTTAAGTAAGACTCCCTTCTTCCTGGAAGCCTTCCCTAGCACACTGCATTGAGAAAGCCACATTCCAATGACCCTCCCCCCAAATTTAACAGACAGAATTCTATATGTCTGTAAGTAGGTCATGCTTGAATTAGGTTTCTCTGGTGTCTTCTTCATCTCTATGTTTTGTCTTTCCCATTAGATTATAATCTTCTTGAGAGACTAGCTCTAGAGTCGGAAGGGACTTCTAGAGGCCATTGAAGCCAATTCTTTCATTTTACAGATGAGGAAACTGAGGCACAGAAAGACTTGCCCCAAGGTCACACATAGAGCAGGTGACAGGGCCACTCTTTGTACTGTCCCCTGCAAGCTCTCTGCCCTCTTTATCCACCTCTCATCCCCTCTCTGCCCAATTAAATCCTCTCCAATCATCATTTGGCTGGACCTCAGACGGTACGTACCTCTTTCATGAAGCCTTCCTAGATTTCACCCAGTGGGATGACTGTCCAATATTTAGCATCCCTTTGTACCTCTTGAGAGCCCTTCTCACAGTCTATTTTGTCCTGGGGTTGTTTCTGTATGTGCCGTGTCCTCTTCACCAGACTGACAGCTTCGTGAGGGCAGGTATGGTGGCTTCTTGATCTTGATGCTTTAGCCAGCACCAAGTGTGCGCTGGAAGTGGAATGCTGGTGCAGCCAGCTTCACCCACTCCAATCTGCTTGGAGCTGGATTCTGTGGCTCCACAGACCCTCCCTGAGAATGAACCAAAGGGTTAAGTCAGAACATTTCCATTGAGTTTGCTTCTTAATCACCAAAGTTAATTCTTTTCCTTTTTACAAATATAAATTCTTGGCAGTCAGAAAAAAGAAAGAAAGAAAGAAAGAAAGAAAGAAAGAAAGAAAGAAAGAAAGAAAGAAAGAAAGAAAGAAAGAAAGAAAGAAAGAAAGAAAGAAAGAAAGAAAGAAAGAAAGAAAGAGGAGAAAGGGGAAAAAACCTTAACTCGACATTACTCAGATCTTTGCTTCTTCCTATTTTTTCCCCCTCAAAGCCAGGGCCCATGAGAATTCAGTGCAATGAGAGAAACCCCAGCCCAGATGGAATGTTTGTGTTAATAGAAGCCTGTAAGTTATTTAAATGTATGGTTAAATATGTGTGTGTGTGCATGTGAGTGAGTGGTCCAAGATAACATGTCCTTCAGTAAAACCATGGGGAATGGACAGGAATCAGAGTGCCTCCGTCCTACCTCCCATGTTCCTTTTTTTTTTTGGGGGGGGAGTCAGCCATTGCCTAGGGCCAATGGCTTGTTGCTTCCCCACAACAAAGTAGATTCTTGGGGTCTGTTGTCTATCTCTGCCAGTCAGAAAGAGGAGAGCTCCCCTGCTCTCTGGCCAACGTGGCTTCCTAGTCATGTGAAGGAGTGAGTTCAGCTGTCCACCTGAACACTTTGTTAGCGGCAGAGTTGCTGATCCAGCCATCCCCCACTCCCTTCACTGACTGACTCCCCTTGTCTTCTGATGTTAAGGGTTGGGATGCTCAAGCCTGAAGTGGAGGAGCAGCTGAAGGAGGATGGTTCACTGTCATGGACCCGTGGGAGAGTTATACTCAAGGCTCCCCATATTTTTCCTCCTCAGAATCCTCTGGTCAGATACTTAAACCATGAAACTTAAAAAATTTGTTTTCATGGATGACCTTTGTTTCTACATCACTGGTATTTCCAAATGTCAGCCACAACATCAAAGTCCCCCCTCACCTCTGCCTTGAAGTGGGTTTCCTTCCTTCTTTCCTTCCTTCCTTCCTTCCTTCCTTCCTTCCTTCCTTCCTTCCTTCCTTCCTTCCTTCCTTCCTTCTTTCCTCCCTTCCTCCCTCCCTTCTTCCCTCCCTCCCTCCCTCCTTTCTCTCTCTCACTCTCAGCAGTCGGGGTTAAGTGATTTGGTCTGAGGTCAGATTTGAATTCAGGTCCTCTATCCACTGCAGCGCCACCTAGAGGCCTGCAGGTTTCCTTTCCAAAGATCTCCAGGCGCGCAATCCCTCCCCTATACTTTTTTCCTTTTCCCTTTCACCTGTAACTCTCACTATCCTTCCCCTTTAGATACATGCTTAACCCCTCCCCTCTGCTCGATCTTCAGTGACCTTTGGGAGTAACGTGTGTGTGTGTGTGTGTGTGTGTGTGTGTGTGTGTGTGTGTGTGTGTTGGACCACATTATTCCAATTCGTTTGAGGCAGAGGGAACACTGATTCCTCCAGTTTTTGTTTCCCTTACTGGGGAAGAAGGGGACGTTTGACATTATTACCTCCTACTATGGGGGGAAACAAAACCAACTCATAGAATGGAACAGAGAGCTGTGTGACCCTGGGCAAGTCACTTCACCCTTTTTGCTTCAGTTTCCTCATCTATAAAATGAACTGGAGAAGAAAATGGCAGATGCTTCCAGTATCTTTGCCAAGAAAACCTCAAATGAGGTCACGAAGAATTGGACACAACTGAAAAAATGACTGAATAACAATGGGGTAGTGGACAGAACAGTGGACCTGGGAGTAAGGAACTAGCCAATCAACAATCGCCTACCAAGTGCATACTGTGTGGCAGGAGGAGCTGAGGACAGGAAGACAACAATGACAACTATCGGGGAAGGCACCACGTGTGCGTGTGGCAAGGTTCTGGCACAAAGCGAGCACTTCACAGAGGCAGACGTTCATTTATTGATATAAAGAAATATAAAAAACATAAAGTAAATCCAAAGTGACTGGGCTGGGGTGAGGGGCATCTTGGGAGGATCAGCAGGAAAACGTGGGGCTTAGATTCTGCTCCTGACTCCTGACTCTGTCACCAGGAGCAAATCACTCGATCTGTCTCAGCCTCAGATAACTTTCTAACGTGTATCTGCCGTTACGGGTGAACTACAAGCTTTATGGATGAAGGGAATTCTTATACATCTATAAAACCGTAGATCTTTGATGAATTGGGATACACATAGATTAATATTTACAGACATTTATATATGTGCATATACATGTGTGTATGCCTATGTGCACATACACAACGCATATATGTACACATGTGTGACCATGTTTGTGCATGGAGTGCATGTGTGTATGTGTACCGTATATATGTATGCATATGTGTGTGCATGTATGTAGATGCATGTGTATGTTTATGTATGTATGTGTATATATGCATTGCCTTTCTCTGTAACCTCCAGGACCCACATTTCTGTGACGTAGAGTGCATAGAATCTGGGGAAGAAAAGAGGAAAGCAGGTGTCCAGACTCTACATGGAGGTATGACAACTATCACAGAAGCGGCACTGGAGACATTGGTGATGAGCCTGCCTGTGTATGCCTCAGGCAGCACCCACAATCGACCACCTCTTCGAGAAACGAGAAGCAGGCTCCATTGTTCTTCCGTCCCCTCTGAAGTCACATAGTTTTGTCTCTGTCACTTCTCAGCTGTATGGCCCTGGGTAAGTCATTTCCCTGAGTCTTGGGTTCCTCATCCATCTGGTGGGGACGGTCATGCTGCAGTGCTGCCCTCGGAGGCTCCGATGAGATAATGTCTCCAAGGCGCTGGGGAGTCTGCAGCGTTCTTGTAGTGTGGCTGCTCTGATTATTATTAGTAGCAGCTCTACTGGTCTGCATCTCCAGCCAGGAATTCACAGCTCAGAGGACTTGTAGACACATCTCCCCCCTCCTCCCGCTCCCTGCCTTCTCCCTTGACTCTCCCTCCTGAGCCAACTTGGACGCTTTTCATCAGCTGTGGGGCTTTGTCCGTTGAGGAGGGGATGGGGGACCCAGCTTCCTGATGTCCCCAGGAAGATTAAGCAGATGGCCTCGTACACGGGGTGCTGACCTCCTCCCTGGATTCCTTAGGGGCCAGAGATAGAGGCGGAGGAGAGGTCCGGCTTCACTCTGGGCCCACCTCCCATGCTTCCCCTGGCCCTGCCCTATCCTTTCTTCCAGAGGCTCCCACTTATCTCTCCCCCAGAGGCCACTCCTGTGCGTCTGTCTTCTGCTCTGGAAGGAGGGGCTCCCCAGTAATACCAGCTATTTGTGAGACATTCTCTGCTCTCTCTCCAGGCCAAGTGCTGCCAATTCCACCTTCTCAGCATCTCCCAAATCTGTCCTTCTCCATCCAATCACAGTCATTATCCCGGCTGGCTCGGACCGCCCAAATCACCTGCACTATGGCCATGGCCTCCGCCTTGGCCTCCCTTCCTCCAGTCTGTACCTTTCCAGTCCATCCTACAAATGGATCTTCCTAGAGCACAGGCTGACCGAGCCCCTCTGGGCTCATAACCTCCAGCGGCCCCCCACTGCCTCCAGGACCAAGGGCAAACTCCTTTGGTTAGCATTTAAAGACCAGGCCACCGGGCCACAGCTGCTTTCCAGGATTACTACAACACTTTCCTTTTGAATCCAGTCAAACTTAACTGTTCCCTGCATAGAACGTTTGTCTCCCATCACCACGCCTTTGAACAGGCATGCTTGCAATGCTCTGCCTCCTTCCCTCTGCCTCATAGATTCCCTAGTGCCCTTCCAAGCTCATCTCTTACAGGAGGTCTGTCACGCTGTTCTGTTGGCCGGGTTCCCCCTCCTCCCTTCCCCTAAATGCTTAATATTTACTTTCCTGTGTACTTCCCCTGATAGAATGAAAGCCTCTCCAGGGCAGGCGCTGTTCAAGCCAGGAGCTTGCCACAGTGAGAAATCCTAACCTCCCCCCGCCCCACACACACCCCAGGAGGAATTCCAGAATGAGCAGTAAACTAGGGAAGGAAGTGAGATGACGACAGGGCTTTATTCATTGTACAGAATTGTGGTTTCACTGGTATAGGGAGCTCCAAGTGAGGAGTTCTCTCCTAGCGCAGGCCAGCGCCTTCACGGAAACGTTGGGAGGGACCTCAGAGGCCATCTGGCCCAACCTCTTCTTTTTACGTGTGAGTAAACCGAGGCCCAGGGTTTTGTGCCCAAGGTCACACAGGTACTGAATGTCAGGAGTAGGATTTGAACCCAAGGCTCTTGCTTTTCCCCTTAGAGAATTGTCCGAGCTCCAAGATTTGATGACTCAGTGCACAGATCAGATTGCCGATTCTGAGACTTGCTGTTCTCTTTTGCTGTTCTAGGTCCTTGCTGGGAAGCCTCTGAGAAATGAGAGGCAGTGTGGTTCAGCAGTCAGAGCCCTGCCAGTGACCAGGATTCAAGCCCTACCTATGAAGCTCAGTCCCCCTGTGACCTTTCGGCAAATCCCTTCCCCTCTCTAGGCCTCATTTTCCTCATTTGCACAAATGTGAGGGGTCGGACTCTTCCATTAACTTCCAGGCCCCTTTCAGCTCTGACATTCTCTGATGTTAAAAGGGTCCCTCGGGCCCCCAGGATCAGCCCCGTAGATATCCAGCTTCCTCCCAGGTCATCTCAGAGTTTCTCAGCAGCAGAAGCTGCCTCAGCTCCCCCCGTGACATCCGGGGAGCCTGACCTTTTGCCTCTTTGCCTTCCCGCCTGACTTGAATACATCACACAGAGGCTGGAGAGCAGCCTGTCCTGTTTCCAGCCGGCACCAGACAGTAGGAGAGTGGCTTGGGCTGAGTTCAAGGACGAATTCTCTGATGGTGCTCGGTTGTTCGCTTTTGCAACAGACCACAGAGGAAGTTGTTACATGCAGGGGCATCTTCAGAAATCAGACTGGCTCTAGGACAGTGTCCCAGCCTATGCTAAGTAGAGGGACAGATTCAGTTGGTTCATTCATTTATTCATTCATTCACAACCATTTATTAATCACCTACTATATATACACTCAAAGTCCTTTGGAACCAGATTCTCCCCCTAAGCCAATTTTTAAAGGGAAAAAATAGATTGTAGATTTTAGAAGTGGGAGGAGTGCTTGGCTTGGGGAGGGGGAGGGAGAAGGGAAGGGAACCAAGCTGTTCATGCTGATGCAGAAAGGGAGGACAGTTCATCTTCCCCCTTAAAGCTCTCTCCTCTGTCCTCTGCCGGCTGGTGATTCTTTTCATGCCCCCCGCCAACATCCAGACTGTCATCATCTCCATCTCCTCTGTCAATTTTCCTCCTGATACCCTCCCCACCCTGCACCTCACCCCCTAGGCAGGCTGTTGTTAAATCTTCTCGCTTCTTCCCCCATAGTTACTTGGAAATCTGCTCTTTTCTGGGCCTCCGCCCCCACCGTCAGTACCTCCATCCCCCTCTCCCTTGTTCGGTCCTAGTTGGGTGGGTGACGCCCTCAGAGGTCTCCGCTGGCAGGCTCCGGGAGAAACTTCCTGCCCCATCTTACCGCTTCTTCCCCTTGGCCCCTGTGGGGGGAGCCAGGATTTATCAGCGGGAGCCCTGCCTCCCCCAGTGCAAATCACGACCCCTCGACACCTTCTCATCCTGTGAGATGCTTCTTTCCATAAATCCTCCAGAAGGGATCCATCCCATGTGCTGGAGGCCCCTGGGACTAACCTCCCTGCTTCACATCTGGCCCAAATCCTCAACCCTGCAGACAACAGTGGTGGGAAGACCCGGAGCCCCCAGCCCCCCCTCCCCCATCCTCCCCAAATTCCACTAGGGCATAGATTCTGCTGCCTCTGGGCTTTCTCAACTCTTCAGGCACCAACAGGGCTGGAAATAAGAGAGAGCTGAGGTGGGGCCCTGTTCCTTTAAAAAGGGCCGTCCTCGGCTGATTTACATGTGGCTGGTTTTATACATAAATCTGCATGTCAAGCTGGAGGCCCGGTGCCAGGTTTCACGTTTATGTAACCTAGAAGTAAATGAAATAAATTCCCTCCCTATGGCAGGAGGTGCCGAACTGCAATTTCCATCAGAGTAGCAGCCACTAATCGAATTTGGACCCAAACCTGAGTAATTCCATCCCTGGTGGGTCTATCAAGACCCCCAGCTCTATTGGCACAACAGCAATGACAATGACAACGATTATGATGATGACAAATAATAATGGTTAGCATTTATGTGGGGCGCTAGGTGGCGCCATAGTGCACAGAGCGCTGGGGCTGGGAGTCAGGAAGGCTCATCTTCCTGAGTTCAAATCTGGCCTCAGACGCTTATTAGTGTGGGTGACCCTGGGCAAGTCACTGAACCTTGTTTGCCTCAGTTTCCTCATCTGTCAAATGAGCTGGAGAAGGAAATGGCAAACCACTCCAGTGTCTTTGCCAAGAAAACCCCAAATGGGGTCACAAATAGTCAGAGACCGAAGAACAACAAAGCATTTATCTAACATCTTAAGGTTTGCAAAGGGGTTTCCCATGTTATCTGGCTTAATTGTCACATTATCCCCAAGTGATAAATGGGGAAACTATGGCTGAGAGGTTAAATGACTTGCCCGAAGTCACATAGCTAGTGAATGTCTGAGGCGCCATTTGAACTCAGGTCTTTGACTGGACTGGAGTCCGGAGCTCTAGAGAATCATGGGCAGCTGCCCCAAGGACGGTTTCAAACTCACTGTAAGTCTTTAAGAAATGGGGCAAATTGTAGTGAGCAGGAAGGCTGTGAGGGACAGAGGGCCAGCCCTCCTGGCGGCTGATAGCATTTTGACTCATGGCCTCTACCATCCCACCCCACAAAAAACCATTTTACACCTCAGTCAGAGTAACCTGGTGGGGGGGGGGTGTCATCCATTTATTCAGTAAGCATTTATTAAGCACTTGCTGTGTGCTAGGCATCTGTGCTCAGCACAGGGTTACAGAGACAGAAAGGAAACAGTCCTGCCCTCAAGGAGATTACATTCTACTGGGGGAGAAAAGACTTGTACACAGACACATGGGTTCATGGATTTAGAGGAGGATTGGACCTTAAAGTTAGAAGAATCACAGAGTTAGACCTGGAAGGGACCTTGGAAGCCATCAGAACCATTTTACAGGTGAAAAAACTGAGTCCCAGAGACTTGAGTGATTGCACCCAAGTTCACACAGGTACTAAGTGATAGAGTCAGGATTTGAACCAAGGTTCTGTGAGTCCCCCTCCAATTCTCCACTGTGCCATATGAAGTCCATACGAAGGGACGCACTGTCACGTGATTTGTCATGTCTGTCCGTGACAGGCGAGGCTTGAACTGAGTCTTCAAGGCTGCTGAGGATTCTAGAGGGCGGATACCCCGGCCTCTAGAGGGGACAACCTGTGTAAAGGCCCCAGGGGCTGGGGAGGTTGATGGGTAGAATTCCCAGATCGGCGTATCCATCAGCAGGAATTATGGGAAATCATCCGGAAAAATAGGTCGGAGCCAGATGGTGACGAGCTTTAAATGTCAAACAGGTGAATCTGTATCTGGTCCTCAAGGCGTGGGAGGCCTTTGAAGTTCCCCTTGCACGGTCAGAGAGGGCCTTTAAGAAGATTATTTTGGCAGCTGTGAAGGGGGCAGACTGGAAAGAGGAGAGACCAGAGGCAGGGAGACTCATCAGAAGGCCAATGAGATGGTTTGATAGACTGGTGTGAGGCCAGTGTGAGGATTCTGTGGCAGCTCAACCTGAGCTTGACCTCAGTGGTGGTACAAAGCCGTAATGGAAACGGGACCTCGAATCCTGGCCTCTTTGCCGCTCTTCCTTCACAACATGTCGTTTCCTGTCTCCGAGCTTTTGCATGGACTGTGCCTTCTGCCTGAAATGCACTCACTCCTCACCTTCACTTCTTACAACCCCTAGGTCCCTTCAAGGCTCAGCTCAAGGCCCCCTTGTCCATGAAGCCTTTCCTGATGCCCTAGGGATTGGTGCCTTCCCTCCCCAGCTCCCTTCTCTTTATTCTGTCTACACTTACAATCGATTCATGTGGCCTCCCTCAATCAGATGTATTTTCTCTGTAAGAGGGGCCAGTACTGAATACTTATCCCGATGCTTGTAGATTAATGAACGGGTTAATGCCCAAACATCTGAAGTATAGAGTTGTTCAGCAGATGAAACTCTAGACCTAGACTAAGAATCTGGGTTCAAATCCTGACCCTATCATTTTCTAATCTTTGTGACTTTGGGCACTTAGGCTCCCTGGGCCTCAGTTTCCTTATCTGTAAAATGGGAGGGTTGGACTAGAGGATCTCTGATGTCCCTTCCAACCCTAGGTTTTTGATCCCGTGAGCGAAAGACTTGCGTTCAAATCCCCTCTCTGACACTTACTAGTTGTGTGACCTTGGACAAGTCCCTCAACCTCCCCAAGTCCCAGTTTCCTCATCTGTAAAATGAGGAGGCTGAACTGTGAGGTCTCTTCCAGACCTGAAGTCCACATTCCTTAGGGTTTTCATGAGGCTCACGTGAGAAAATGGACGGGAAAAGCTTTCCAAACTCTAAAAAAATGATATATTATCCAAAAGTCCCTTACGGTGGGTGGAGGGCAGTTCCTGGTGCCGCTAGCCAGTGCCTCCCCGCCCCCATGTTCACGGTGTTTGTTTGTATAGCTCCACAGAGGTTAGAACGTAAGCTCCTTGAGGGCAGGCACCTGTGATCTCTGCACCCTCAGGGCCCAGTACGGGGTCCGCAACCCAGGAGACGTTTAATAAGTGTTTGTTGACTGCATTTTTGTTATTGCTTCCACCTGGCAGTGAGTTCTTGGGACTCCCCTGGCGCCCAGCGAACGCTCCGCGCGAGACTGACCAGCCCATCCCAACGCAAAGCAGAGAACAAGTCCCGACTGGAAATTCCCAGAGTGGTTTTGCTTTGTTTTTAAATCTTACCCTTCAGGTTCGGCCTGGTGTCATTTCCACGTTACCGGCAGCGAGCTGAACCTGCCATGGCAGACGAGCGCCATCTGACATTTGTTTGTTCTCAACCCCCTCGCCGAAACCTTCAGACAGAACACGGGGCTTTATTTTGAAAAGGGGACCCATAGCAAATCGCTTTCCTGACAAACACGATTGTCTGAATTCTCCTTAGTGCGGAGAAATCCGTCCGGTGGGGCTCCTCCCCACCTCCTCTCCCAATGACTACGTCACCGGAGTGGGAGCCAGCTGTGATGAGCCGTGATCTTCGTAGCCGTCCAGGGGCCAGACCGAGGGCCAGCCCAGGGAGTGGGGAGGCAGGCTGTCTCTCGTCTCTTTTCTCTCACTTTGAAGTTTCTGGATGAGAGGAAAAGCCTGACGCAAACTCGCCTGCCTCCTTGCCCATTAACCGCACTGAATTGCAGGGCAGGGAGACTCATTAAGGGGTCAACTGAGCCATTCCCCTGCCCCCAGGCAGAACTAAACTGGGATTAGAACAGGCAAATTAAGTCGGTCTCTTTTTTTAACACTTCTTCTGGACATCTCCAAACAAAAGGAAATTTGGGCTCCCCCTGTGACTGTTAGAGGCGCTCACAAGAGCCTGGAGCCCAGTCTTACAGAGAAAGTTTGGAGGTGGGAAAATCAGCGAAAGAAAGCCTGGGGAGAACCTGCCGAGCTGATGAATTAAAGGCTGCACCAGAGATCTGGTGGTCGGAGAGAAAAGTGTTTGTGGAGGGTGGGATGAGGTGGTCAGAGAAGTAGTCAGAAGACAAAGGTGCCTGAGGTTTGGTGCTTGGGGGAAAGGAGAAGGATCCTACACCTGGGTGGGGGAAGGGAGCTGGTAGCCTCATTTTATAGGTGGGGAAACTGAGGCAGAAGGAGGTTGGCCTCTGGAGCCCCCTCTCCTCTGTGACGGCTCTTCCTCCTCCTCCCCAGCCCACCTCCCTTTTGTCTCTCCCCTAATAACAGCTGGCATTGCTAATCTAATAGGCAAAGTTATAGGCTATCATTATTATTATCATTCCCATTTCGCAGACAGGGAACTGAAGGTTCCTGGAGGTTAAATAATTTGTGCTGGGTTTCATCACTCTAAATGTTAGAGTTCAGGGCTCACCAGACTCCAAATCCAATATTCTTTCATGGGATCACAGGTCTAGAGCTGAAGGGACCTCTGACTTCCTTTATTTTACAGAAGGGAAAATGAGGCTCCATTGAACTGTGCTGCCTCACCCCTCCTATGGGTCATTTTGTGTCCCAAGTCTTCAGGGCCTTACTCTCAATGCCTGTTAATATAAGGTGTGGGTGGGGTGGAGGGGGGAGACTGGCCAATGAGAGCCCAGGCCTGGTTACATCACTAACCTCCCTGAGTTACTGGCTGATAAGGCGGCACCCTCTGCAGAAGTATTTAGTACAGAATGTTAGAACCCCAGGGCAGCACCATGGCATGAAGGACAACATGGTAGACTGTGTGTCCTCCGTTCAAATTCTGCCTTAGGCACTTGAGTGCCAGCTGAGTGACCCTGGGCAAGTCTCCCCACCTTTCTTGAGCCTCAGGCTTCCCTCCTATAAAATGGGAACAATAATAGCACCTTCCTCACAGGTTTGTCAGGAGGATGAAAAGAGATGGTGCCCGTAAAGTGCTATACAAACCTTGAAATGTCATACAGATGTCAACCAGTGGCAGCCCCCTCATCTCTGGAGGAGAAAGTTTGCCTAAGGTCACACAGCTACCAAAGGCCTGAGGCAGGATTTGAACAGAGAACACACAGCTAGTTAAAGGAGAGTTGGGGTTAGTGCTCAGGGGCTCTGCCTCCCAGACTAGGACTGTCTCTCCCTCTCTGTCTCTGTCTGTCTGTCTCTTACTCTCTATGTCTGTATCTGTCTGTCTGTCTGTCTCTCTCCTACATTAGACCTTGTATCTTTAACTACATCCTCATTATGACTCCCCAGGGATGATTTAATTCGAGGATGAAATCTTCTTCACCCAGAAGAATGACCAGATAATGGAAGAAATCACAGGCAATCAATCTAGCGTGCACTTATTAAGCACCTACTGTGTGCCAGGCTCTGTGCTAGTCACTTGGGATACATATATAACAGTGGGAT